GAAAAAGGAGGGTGGGTCGGCCAAGGAAAACATGGAAAAGAACGGTTGAGGAAGAGGCGAAAACAGCTGGGCTCACGTGGGCACAGATTAAGGGAGCAGCCCAAAACCGAGTCCGCTGGAAATGTGTAGTTGCAGCCCTTTGCTCCCTAGGGGTCACAAAGGAATGATGATGACATATATTAGCAAAAATAAATGGAAAATATTTAATATAATAACACACATACATTATTAATTAATTTGTATTTGCTATAAAAAGTGTACAAATATATTCTCTTTTCAATGTATAAAACAAGACCAAAACTATTTTCTTTCCTCTCAGATTTTTAAATGAATCTTTCTTTATTAAGTAATCGCTTCAACACATTGTCTAAACAATGTGCATTAAATAAAGATCAAACATAAAAGACTAACTTTAGTTTTTAAACTTGTCGTCTAGACCCCGCCTCTTTCTTTTGTTGAATGATCACCTCACAAGTTAAGCATAACAAGATAAATCAAACAAGCGCGCTTCTGGTCAATGTTGCGAGCTGCCGCGCCGGCTACACAAGGTGGTCAAAACTTACATCAAAAGAATGTTAAGATACGGGCCCCAACATCACCTTACATTTAATAAAAAAGTTTTTTTTTACTGCAATTTCTCACATTTAAAAAAATAAAAGCTAAATTATTAAAATATAAACAAATTTGTTTGTATGCTTAAAACTGTGTTGATTATCAAAATTTCAAAATTGAATTATGAATGTCTATGTAGTTACATAAATTTTTTATTCAATTTTTACATTTTTCGAGCGAACAACCATCAGGCAAGTGTCCATTTGGGCATTTGTCGCATTCGGGCAAGTGTCCATTCTGGCAGTTGGGCAAGTGTTTTTCGAGAAAACGTCCGGCTCCCTCTATTAATAAAACTATTATTAATACTAAAAACGAATAGTATTTTGTTTGCAACCACAACATGACAATATATTTTTCTGCAGTGAAAAAATGAAGCAGTTTTAAATTTCCTTTGGGATTAGCCATCTTCTGATTGTAATTGCCTCAAAGTTCGTTTGCTAACACATTGAGCGTGGTAGAATACAGCAGCTAGATTTGACAACACTCGAGCTCCAAGTTCGAATCTGGGGTTATCACTACTGATAATCATTGTCTTTTGATATTTTATTTTTTCATATTGCAAGTGTCAGGTGTAATTTAGTGTAAAGATTTTTTTAGAATCCTTGTTTTTTTTTAATCTATTAAAGTTTAAAAAAATAGCATTATCCAAGAATTTTCTAACATCGTCACTCGCTTACGTTTTCTTGCCCGCTGGCAAAAAATTCCACCCTGGTTAGCGGGGGGCACTAAGTTCAGCAGGCCTATAGCATTCATCACTCGAATGAACTCAATTGCTATTTGAGATCATCTGTGACTTCACTCTCACCCCCCGCCATCCAAGCATATTAAAAAAAACAGGCTTACTTCTGGTTGTTTCTGTAAGTTCATATATGCCTATAGACTTTTAACTCTATCTAGTATCAAGCATTCCACCAGATAGCAGTAAAAACATTTATTTTACTTTATATATATATACTAGCGTACCCGTCCCCGCGCATTGCCACGGGAATAGAAGAAAGTCCGACAAAATGTATAAGAAGGGTTTCATCCATGCGTTACCAATCCTATAATCTTAGACCCGTGACCTTGTTTTCTAAAAACGAGTTCTTTAAATGTAAACAATGCGCTTGGATCATAAATATCGGGACACGGGTTTACCTACATTACCGCTTGAAAACCTTGAGTGTACATTAATCACTCGCCGAAATAATGAGGTAGAACACACTTCGGTGACCGACCATGTGTCAGGGACGTAGAGGGTCGCTCTCAGGAGCCTCCCCCGTTTAAACGACCGTACAGGCACATAGTAATGCCCCTGGCTCCTTTAAACTAACAAGCGCTATCGTGCCAAATAGCATCCTGTTAACAATGATGCAGATTGTGTCATGCGCTAAAGTAATACAAATTAACAGAGTTTTTTGTTTAACACATAAAAAAAAAATTATTTGAGGTGTTTTAAACATCAGTGTGACTGATGCAATATGTTAGCGTTACTAATGCTCTATTATTAGATGCTCGATCTCAATTCCTTATTGGATTGTTTTAAAATAGATGCTGATTGCATCATTCGCAAAGTGAAGAAACTGTTAGGATTTATTTACGGACAAAAAGAAACATCCCAGTTAGTAAACTAACTTTGGTAAATTTTTCTTATTATTAAAATAAAACGTATTACATGGCCCTCAGCGGCCCACGTGAGCCTTTAGGGGCTGAAATTGAAATATTTGTTTGCAGCCTAATCGCACGCCTGATTTAATTTAGTGAGCGTTTGTAACGCCCCATCCTATCCAATGTTTATCACACTGTTTAGACAGAACGTAGTCACCATAGCGCTCACCGGAAAGACTAGGGCGCCAAATCGCATCCTGCCAGGGGGGGGGGGGGGGGAGGAGGTTCATTCAAAATTAATAATATATGTATATATATATGTATATATATATGTATGTATATATATATGTATATATATATATGTATGTGTATATATATGTATGTATATATATATGTACGTAATATATATGTATGTATATATATGTATGTATATGTATGTATATATATTTGTATATATATATGTATATATCTATGTATATATGTGTGTATAGTTATGTATAAATATATGTATGTATATGTATTTATATATATGAATAAATATATGTCTGTATATATATGTATAAATTGTGTATGTATATATATATGTATAAATATATGTATGTATATATATGAATAAATATTTGTATGTATATATATGAATAAATTTATGTACGTATATATATGAATAAATTATGAATGTATATATGTATGTATATATAAATGTATATATATAAATGGTATATATATGTGTATATATATGTATGTAAATATATGCATATATATATTTGTATGTATATATATGTGTATATATATGCATATATATATTTGTATGTATCTCTATAAATATATGCTAGTGTACCCGTCCCGCGCGTTGCGACGGTGATTGAAGGAGGGTTTCATCCTTACGTGTGACTGATGCAATATTGTAGCGTTACTAATGGTCTATTATTAGATGTCGATCTCAATTTCTGACTGGATCGTCTAATAATAGATGCTTATTGCATCATTCGCAAAGTGATGAAACTCTACAGTAGGCTCCTCATGTTCAAAAAGTTATTTTTTTCATCTTTCGCAAGATGACGAAACTGTACAGAAGGATTTCCTCGCGTTACAAAGTTATTTTTAGAAGCCTGTTGTAGCTTTACCGCTGAATATAGTAGTACCCCTTACTCGCTATGCAGGTTGTCGATTAACGGATGCCAAGTGCCAACATAGTCGCTCTAAAACTTTGGGCGCCAAACCGTGTATTGACGAAAATTGTACCCTACATGGCGCCGCCCATAAGAAACTTTTGTTTTCTTTTTCGCAGAAATATTCTCGGGAGTATTCTCATCTACTCCCTAAAGTTTCATGGCACTCGGATGAACCGCATCCGAGTTTTATTTTTTATATACCGTGTATAGAGAAAAAAATCGCTCTCCCCTGGGGCGCCGCCCTTGCAATATTAAAAAAAATTTTTTTTTTTGCAGAACCCTACCATTGAGGGATCTAATCATCTCCCTAAAGTTTCATTGTACACGGGTGAACGGTGTGAAACCGAAATAGACTTAAATTTTTATAAACCGTATATAGAGAAAAATCGCACCCTCCCGTGGCGCCGCCCTTGCAAAATTAAAAAAGGACGTTTTTTTTTACAGAAACCTTTCCTGAAGTGTTCTAATCAACTCCCCAAAGTTTGATGGCGATCGGATGAACCGCAATCGACGTTTATTTTTATATACCATGTATAGAGAAAATCGCTTCTTCCTGTTGCGCCGCCCTTGCAAATTTAAAAATGATTTTTAACGGAACCCTTCCCGGAGTGTTCTAATCAAGTCCTCAAAGTTTCATGGCTATCGAATGAACGATGCCAAACCAAAATCGACTTTTATTTTTATATACCGTATATTGAGAAAAATCGCACCCTCTCGTGGCGCCGCCCTTGCGAAATTAAAAATGATTTTTTTTACAGAACCCTTCCATAGAGTGTTATAATTAACTCCCCAAAGTCTCATGGCTATCGGATTAAGGGTGTCAAACCAAAATCGACTTTTACTTTTATATACCGTATATTGAGAAAAATCGCACACTCCCGTGGCTCCGCCCATACGAAATTAAAAATTATTTGTTTACAGTATTTTTATATACAGCACATAGAGAAATATCGCACCCTCCCGTGGCGCCGCCCTTGCGTAATTAAAAATGATTTTTTATAGAACCCTTCCCTAGAGTTTCATAATGAACTCCTCAAAGTTTCATGCCTATCAGATGAACAGTGTCACCGCAATTCACTTTTATTATTTTTATATACCGTATATAGAGGAAAATTGCACCCCCCGTGGCGCCGGCCTTGCGAAATTAAAAATTTTTTTTACAGAACCCTTCCTTAGAGTGTTATTATGAACTCCCCAAAGTCAGATGAACAATGTCAAATCAAAATCGACTTTTTATTTTTATATATCGTATATAGAGAAAAACGAATCGCGCCCTGCCGGGGCGCCACCCCTGCAAATTTGAAATATTTTTTTTCGCAGAAACATCCCCAGGAATATATTAACAACTTCCCAAAGTTGACTGCGATGTGATAAGAGGTGTGGTAATGCATAAAAGACACACAGACAGACACACAGGCAGACACACATACATTGCTTTATATATATATATATATATATATATATATATATATAATATATATATATATATATATATATATATATATATATATATATATATATATATATATATATATATATATATATATATATATATATATATATATATATACACACACACATTCTTATATCCTGCTTGAAATTATAGAATTATTGCAATTATTCCTCTAGAGCACAGGTTAAACGCAACATGATTAGAAAAAAAGATTACAGTCCTGTATATTGGGACAAGTATTTTGAAAATAAACATGATGTTCAAACTTATACTGGAGATGTATCCTTGTATAAAGCACCAATTGTTTGTCTTAAAATTTGTGCTTTTTTTCTTTGTTGCTAGTTTAAAAATGTTCTCACTATTCTTTTAGTAAATTCTTAATACTCAGATTAATCTTCCTTGCATTCTAATAATGTCAAACTGAGATATATGTATTTTTAAGAAACTAGTTATGGTCTGCTTTTGTTTTACTTACTTGTACATCATGTTCTGAATATAATGAAATTATAGTTACTGATGATTTCACTTAGGAAAATTTTTTAACGTTGCTATTCATATGTTCATAATTGGAAACCTTAATTTTGTAATAAAAAAGTATATAGTAAATTGGTTTCCCAAGTAATTTTTCTTTACAAACAAGGTATTTCGAGTATATGAACGTGGTGATGAAGGTCCAGTGCTTTTTTTTCTGCATGGTGGAGGCTTCTCAGCTTTATCCTGGTCGCTATTATCAGTGAGTTAAAAATTGTTAGTAGTGGCTCATTTCCTGTTGAAAAGTAAAAGCTATAAAATTTAGTTTGTTAAATTTTTTTTGGTCTCTAATTCAACAGTAAAGTAAAATTACTCATTGGATAAAAATAAAATTTAGTGAACTGAATGGAAGCTGAAAAACTTCAGCCAGATAAACCATCTTTTATTTACATAATGCCAGCTCCAATCCCAGATAAAGAAATATGGTAGAATTCCCCGTAAAACAAAAATATGCTACAGAATATACAAACACATCAAACAAACAAGGGCTTAGAGAGGAAGTTTTTTCTTTATTGGAGCTTATGAAATGTGCTAGTGAAAATGTTCAGCAAGCTAGCATGCCAGCAAATCTACTGATGATCAAGCAAAAACCATATAGGGACCTGGAATGTTAGAACCATGTACATGTTTGGTAGAACATTATTTCCACACAAGGCCTCCTACAAGACCACATACAGTTCCCTTGACAGAAAAACTGAAAATCAGGTGGATCACATCACAGTTCGTAGGAAAAGGAGGTCTCTTAGAGTGAAACAAGGAGCAGACACAAATTCAGATTACCAACTGCTGCTTGCATCATTGAAGATCAAGCTGAAATCATTCAAGGACACATCATTAATTGACTTTCAATATTAGAGAGCAAAGTGAAAAAAGAATCCTTGAACTTTGAAGTTAAGAATGCATTTAAAACCCTCTCAAGATTGCTGAAAAGCATGTACCAGTCCTGAGAAAGAAAGACAAGGAACACCAGCAATATGAACTAAAATAGAAGCAAGAAAGGAATTAAAACAAATAAATTATCCCATGCTAGAACCAACAATAAAAGGATGGCCTCAAAACTTTATATTGGGAGGCTTATGTAAATAAACCCTATTGGCAAAGAAATACAAACAAGTACAAACAGGGATGGATAAGACCCAGCTTGTGTAAACAAACAAACATCATTTTGTCATTAGGTTGGAGACCCCAAGACACGTGGCTGCATCCTTATATGCTACAAGGGATCATTAGGATTGATTATGATTAAGACTCCAAAGCATTTCTTCTTTCTACAGATGGTTTTTACTCTTCTTTATTTATACATTTAGTTGTGCTCCCAAAATAAAATTATTCATGAATACAGCCTATTTTAATATCAAATTAGCATATCATTTTATAACTATTCCAGGCACAAGTTACAAGTCTGGTAAAATGCAGGTGTGTAGCTGTGGATCTACGAGGACATGGTATTTTATTTTGTCAGTTAAAAATCTTTATAATTATAATTTGCTGATGCCAATAACAATTTTTAAAAAAAAATTATTTATGGATTGAAATTATTAAACAAGTTATAGCTTTAAACCCACATACTGGACAACCAGTGCTATAGCTGAGTTACCTTTTTGGGAGGCCTTTAAAGCATGTTTCCCAAACTTGTAAGGCCTACTGACCCTTTTAACCTAAAATTCACCAAACACTATCTACAGAAAAGAAGTTAAATATTTTATATATATATACTAGGCATACTGCCAGCTTCGCTTAGGTTTTCAAAAAAATACTGTTGAGAATTTGAATTGGTGACTGGCTGTTATGTGAAGTGCTATGTTTTTTTTGTTTTTTTTTTAAGTAAAAGTGCTTATGGCCTAAGTTTAACAATCTGAGTATTTTAA